GGTCAGCCAGAGAGCAGAAGTTTAGCGATAAGCTAAAGCCATAAAATGCAGACACACAATGAAAGTTCAGTGTGCTGTTCTCTCTCTGTTCAGATTTCTTTATTGGCAGCAAGAATGTTTCTGTTAAACGATGTCGCCAAAGCAGTTTGAAGCAAAATCAAAAAGTTTAGATTTAAATATAACATAACAAGAATTGATGCAATCAAGACCATCAAGTTAGCGGTTATAAGTTAACAAAAGAACAAATACAGATAGAAGGTAAACTACGAACAGGAAGTAACCAGATGTGACCTGCAGCAGCTCGCCGAGTCCCTCGCTGTCCCCCAGGTTGGGACACAGAGACACATACGTCTCTTTCTCCTGGGTTTTTCTTATTTATTGTTATCTTCTTTGAAATCTGATTTTAATAGATGGCATTTCTCTAAATATTGCTGTCTTATGCTTCTATATTTATCTCATCTCACAGAATCTGTATTCTTCAGGTAACCTGTTTCAGGGTCTCTGAGGCTGGACTCTGCTTGATATCTCTGACAGTTGTTTTTTCCTCCCAATGATCCAAATGAGTATTTTTACTTTGAGTGATCATCTGGTTTCCTCTAACTGGTGTTCAGAGAGTTGCAGGATCAGGATCTGTCTCAGGACTAGCTGGCATGAGGGACTCTTTTCAGGGTTTTAAGAGCCTTGAACTGGAGGGAGTCTTGGGCATTTGATCAGAGGTGCATCAGAAAGTTTAGGGCTCTATTTTGGAGATCTATCATCAGCGGAAACCACACTAATTCGGCTCTATATGCATTTTTTGGAGAATGTGTAGGACGTTTCTGCAGAAATCTTCATGTTGTGTTTCAATGGGATGCTTCTCCATCTCTCTCTCTCTTCCTGTCTCTCTGTCTGTCTCTCTCTGTCTCTACCTGTCTGCAGGTGCGTCTCCCTGCCAGCTGCAGTCGGTCCTGCGTTGTTCTCCTTCAGGACTCTTTGAGCCGGTTCAGTGTGACTCCAGCAGGGGGCAGTGTTGGTGTGTGGACCAGGACGGCATGGAGCTCTATGGGACCAGACAGAACGGGACTCCTCGCCGCTGTATACAAATACTACTGATACTTCTACTATACTACATGATATTATAGACACCGTTGATAGTAATACTGCTGCTGACAATATGTACTACCTCTGCTACTGATAGTAATACTCATAATACTACTCACTCATTCTACTAGAAGAGACAACTGACTGTTTCCATACATTATACTAATAGTACACACAATGTACTATCCAGTTAGTATACTTAGTTTACTGTGTGGCCAATCAGACGGAGTATAAAACAGGTGGGGCTCACCTCCAGAAACAGCACCTCTGATTGGTTCTTAGTTCAGTACAAAACCCAGCTGTGTGTTTGAATGAACTGATCTCATCAGAGCGGCGTGACCTTTGACCCTGCAGGTCCTGGCGGCTGTGAGGTGAGGTCCAGGCGTCTGCTCCACGGCTCCGGGTCTCCTTCTCCTCCTCAGTGCGCCGAAGACGGCGGCTTCCTGCCGGTCCAGTGTCGGTTCATCAACATGACCGACAGAGCAGAGCTGGACCTGCTGACACCTTCAACAGGTAACTCACCTGCCTGTGGGTATTTCTGAAAGCTGGGTACCGATGTGCTCGATACCTTTTAAGCTAGAAATAACCCGCTACCAAGTAGTATCGGAACTTCTCCAGTCAAACTAGTACTGCATTTGATCCTTTTTGTTACCAGATCTGGACACAAATTTGCATGTTGTTGCTCGCAAGCGACACGGCGACACAGAGAAGAGCGTGCGTCTTCTTTTCTTTGTGTCTCTGTCCACTTTTATTTGTGCTTCAGCACTTGTCTCCGAGCGATCGCTGGTGTGATCAGGTGGATGTTCGGGGTGTATGGAGGACCGATCCTGACAGATTAAGAAATAAATAAATAAATAAGCATCCTATTAAATGCACAAAAAATTAAGTAATTAATAAATGTAGGCAGTAATTAAATTATTCACCCCTTGAGACCCCGCCCCTCCTCATTTGCATAATGAGGCATAAATGCATAGAGAAATGTAAAAAGGACGGGCAGAAATAAATACCACAGGGGAAATAAATAAAGCGAGAATTAAACAGACAAAAAATATTAAAACACACACATAAATAAATACAAGAACTAATTAATAAAAAAAGTTGAAATATGATGATAACAGACAATGTGTGTCAATACAGCGTAGTATTGTGATATTTTCGATCTTTTGTTATATAAATTGTCCATGACAATTTTACTTTTTGGTGCTATAATAATAAAAGCATTTGCGTTTTCAGTCCAATAGAAAAGAGTTTTCATTTGTGGAAACAATTTGAGGTGATAAATTGCAATATATCGTATCGTGGGGCCTCTGGTGATTCCCGTCCCTGGTGGATGTGCCGCTTTCTTCACCTTTGCTTCTTTAGGGCCCGTGTCCACCAAAATGTTTTTTTATGACGCCAGCGTCTTTTTTTTCAATTCATTCCAATGGGAGCGCCGTGTTTTACCAGCTGGTAAAAACGGCAGGAGCGTGACGGAGCGTTTTTCCAGTCGCCGAGAGTTGAAAAAATGTTCAACTTTGGGGAAAAACGCTGCGCTCGTCACTGTCACTTACCACTTTACCCAGCCGTCCAATCACAGTGCAGGAGGGGCGGGACAAACACCACACAGAGCTTGAACAAAGCGATGTGCCTACTTGCCGAGGTGAACCCACGTACGGAGAGTCTGTGCTCTCATGTTTCAGCCTTCTCTTCATGCAGAGCCAGCAGGCCTACGTACTTTGTGGTGACATTTTTACATTCACTGAAATTAAGTAGGCTACTTGCAGCACATCGCCTCCACGGAAATTATGTATCATAGCAACCACAGCGTCTCGAAAAAATACACCGCCTCCAAAACGCACCCTAGCGCTCCCAGCTAGGCGTTTTCAGAACAGCAGGTGGTGGAGACGGGATTTAAAGTTAACAAGATTATTCTCCATGGTTTACTTTCAACACGCGTATCTAACGTGACTTAAATTCCGTTTCCACAGCTCAGTGGTCACTGAGCTATTTCACTCGTCCTCTTTCTCTCAAGCTCTCTTCCTTCGTAACGTGAGGACGACCTGATCAGGACGAGCAGCGATCTGATACGAGTGTCCAGTATTTTTATAAAACTGTTATTTCAAACAATAAAAAGAAAAGAAAATATGTCACATTGCTCGTCCGAGTATTTCAGTGTGTGTTTCTGTGTGTTTGTGTTGCTTCAGGTTCCCAGAAGCCTTTGAGACGTTCAGTAGTTTCAGGAAGTTTTTCCCGACGGTTTCCTCGTACTGCTTCTGTTCTGACAGCAGAGGCAGAGAGCTGGACAACACAGGTACAAACACAAACGCACACTTTGCAGTGTTAGAAATGTTAAATGCATTAATCTGGTGGCCTTTAAAAGCAAAATTGAGAAGCTAGATCTGTTTGCACCCTTGAGAACTGTTTTGTGCTCTATTAAACAATCTGATCATAAACGTTTAGATAGAAATGGTGATGAAACAGCAGATAAGTCAACAAATTTATTAAATGTTTTACCTGCAAACCTCCCCAACATTTTATTGTTTATTTTTAATGGACACATGTAACGTGTTTTATTCTTCCTGTGAACATAATAATCCAGTTAATCTCATCTCCATCCTGTATTTACGTTGTGTTAACACCTCAATTTGAAAACCGGACGTTATCTCATGTGGATCCTGCTGAGTTCATAAATGATATTGTATGTGGAGCTCGTATCGTTCAGACTCTCAGACACTTTGTAAAGAGAGAAAATGACAGAATAAAGTCTGTGACAGTCTGGGTTTGGGACAGTCCATCAGGCGGTGACGTCGTCTTTCTTTTCTTATGTTTTATAATAAAGGTCGCCGCCTAAAAAGACTTTATCATCGTCGCTGTCAGTGTCTGAAAACAAATTGGTGCTCACAAAGAAAGAAGAACTAGAGCGCACACATGCTGGTTTACCGCTCTGATGATGATGATGAAGGTGTGCACTTCCTCTGCAGGTGTGGAGCTCCTCCTGTCTGAGGTCTACGACTCGGCCTTCTCCGGTCTTCGGTCCGGTCGCTCCTTCTCTCAGACCAACATCTACAGAGTCCTGCGGAGGAGGATGCTGGGAGTCCGGCTCGCCCTCACCGGACACTTCAGATGTAAACGCGTCTTATGAAACTGTTTAAGCTGGTTACAGATGCAGGACTTCACACGTGTGGCTCTCAACGTGTTTAAACTGGTTTTATAACTTGGAAAGAGGAGTAGACTGAATTACACAGTGTAAACATTTGTCCGGAATTAAATTTGTTTAAACTCCTCATGGCCATATTGACGGCTTTAAACTGGTTTAAACTGGTTTTAGCACATGTGAACAGTTTCAAACCGGTTTACGCTTCCTAAAAGTGTTAAACTGACCATTTCAGTTATCTCTGGTTTAAACTAGTTTTGCATGACGCCTGGTTTAGACTGCTGGTCTACTGAGATCCTGGAATTAGACCGGTCTAAACACTGGATCTAAACGTCTGTTCTAGTTTAGACCGGGTTAACAGATGTAAACGCCCGTCTCTCTCAGGTCCGTCTCCCTGTGAGGAGGAGCGGCGGGCAGCGATGGAGGCGTCCAGCGTCTTCGTCCCGTCCTGTGAGACCGGAGGAGCCTTCGCCTCCAGACAGTGCCAGCAGGGGGGGCAGTGCTGGTGTGTGGACCCCACGGGGAGGGAGCTTCCTGGGACACGACAGCAGGGAGACACCCCGGTCTGCAGTGAGTGTCCTGCAGCCTGTGGACAGAAACGTGTCCTTCCTCTCGCCTTTCGGTCTCTTTCATCTCCTCCCCCCTTGTTTCCTCCCCTTCTCCTCTCTCCTCCTCCTCCAGGTTCAGGTCTTGCCGACTGTCCCTCTCGGCGTCGCCTGGCTCTGTCGCGGCTCTTCTCCGGTCCCGTTGATCCGCCCATCCTGGCCTCCTCTGGCAGATCTCCGGCCTCCTGTCTCCCCTCCTCCGTCCTCTCGTGGAGCTCCTGCCGGTGGAGGCGGATCCGACCTCCTTCCTGTCTCAGCTGGTCGAAGTCCTCCACGGTCTCTTCCCCTCGGTGGGCGGGGCTCTGCAGGCTCTGGCTCGCTCCTCCCCCCGTCGCCTCCAGGAGAACCTGTTCGGAGGGAAGTTCCTGAAGAACGCCGCCTCCTTTAACTTCAGCGGGGCGATAGGAGCTCGAGGAGCCCTGGGTCTGGACCGGCTCTCCTCTCAGAGCGTCACCGTCAGCCTCCGGAAGAACCGGGACCTGGTCCTGTCTGTCAGCAGGGCTCTGGAGGACCCGCCTTCCTCTCGGCCCTCCAACAGACACTGAGGGAGCTCAGCAGCTCGCAGTCTCTGGACCAGGTGAGACTTTCAACCTGGAACACACATCAGTACTCGGATCCTTTTCTGCAGTACAAGTACCAAGTAACAGTACTGAAGTACTACTGTCACACTGTGAAAGAGATTCGCCAAGAAAACATGTTGAACAGAAGCAGCTGCTTCTGAAACTCCTCCTCCTTCCTCTTCTTCTGCAGGTTCTGGCTCCTCTGCTGCGTTCCTGCTCCGGAGACGGGGAGGAGGACACGGCGGCCGTCTTTGTCCCGAGCTGCACGTCCAGCGGCGGTTTCCAGGAGGTCCAGTGTCTGGGTGGAGAGTGCTGGTGTGTCGACGCTCAGGGTCAGGAGGTGGCGGGGTCGCGTGTCGTCGGCCGTCGACCTCGATGTCCGTCCCGCTGCGAGAGAGAGCGAGCGATGGCGCTGAAGGTGAAAGGAAAGCTGGCGGCCGGGGCTGAGATCCACGTCCCGGCGTGCTCTGAGGACGGAGACTTCCTGCCGCTGCAGTGCGTGGGACCACGCTGCTTCTGTGTGGACGCTGAGGGCAGAACAGTGTCTGCGGGGCCAGCAGGGGGCGCCGTCACCTGTAAGATATCACTGCTGACCAACATCTCATGTCACAGCTGCTGAACATTTACATGCTTCATTTTTCAAAGTTTAGGAAAATGTGCGAAACTACTGACGGCCTGTTTATTCTCCTGTGTCGACGCAAACCGCAAGAACTGTGATTGGTCGGCTTGGTGGCGTCGCATTTCCTCCAACGTGTTTCCGGCTCGTCCTTCTTCTTCTTCCTCGAGTGGTTTGAGGGTCGAACGCACCATCTCCTCTCCTTTCTGCTTTTCGGTAAAAGTAACTGATGTTCAACACGATGCGTTCACTTTCAGCCGCCACCGTTTCTCGCAGCCGACACCAACGAAGAAGAAGAAGGAAACTGTAACGCACAAGTGTAAATGCTAAGGACGGCGTGTAGTCAGCGTCGACGCAGAAGTATAAACTGGCTCTCCTGTTAATCATCAACCCTTCAGCCCTCGTGGGGGTCACGACCCTCAGCTTGGGAACCACCGGTCCAAAGACAGGAGAGATGGTCCCTGCAGCTTTCTTTGCCTTTCATGTCGCTGAGAACCAAGAACTAAATGAAGACGGGAGAACGAGGCGCGTTCTGTCCACAGCTGGAAGTAGCTGCTGCCAGAACTCTGTCGTCTATTTTGAACTCTGTGCGAGCAGCAAAAAGCTTTCAGCTGTGAACATTTCTACATCTGATTTATTGAAGTGTCTGCAGAAGCAGCAACGTGAAACTCTGATGCTGCTGGGACACAATTCGCTTCGAGCCGCATGAAGTCAAACGCACCTAATAAAGTATCTTCTTAACATGCAGGAGATTTTTCAGCTCTGATCAGTCGAGGGCTAAAAATGTAAAGTTTGTCCTGAAGGAAAGTTGATTTAAGATGTTTCTGTTTCAGGTCCAGAGAGAAGGACGCAGAAGCTTCAGTCCTCTGCAGGTCAGAACAAACTTAAAATCCATTCATGGAGATTCTGGAAGACGTTTCTGTATTTACAGATTTATGGGATTATTTTCTTTTCTGTTCTTGTGTCACTGCTGAAAACCAACTCATCAAACCAGAGTGAAGCTGCTGACACTTAGTTCATTTATTAACAACAGAAATGATTTTCACAGCTTCCCTTCAGAAATAAATTAAGTTTCTGGTTT